CACTGCTCTAACAGTCTACCACTGCTCTAACAGTCTACCACTGCTCTAATGGAGCTCCGCCACTCACAGTTCACATGTCGTCAGATCTGGGTGAAGAAAACATACATTATACATCATATTTGTTGTCCTATGCAACCGAGGTGAAGTGAGGCGCCTGCATCTTGGTTAGTGTGGGGGCCCACAGTTTAGTGTGGGGGCCCACAGTTTAGTGTGGGGGCCCACAGTTTAGTGTGGGGGCCCACAGTTTAGTGTGGGGGCCCACAGTTTAGTGTGGGGGCCCACAGTTTAGTGTGGGGGCCCACAGTTTAGTGTGGGGGCCCACAGTTTAGTGTGGGGGCCCACAGTTTAGTGTGGGGGCCCACAGTTTAGTGTGGGGGCCCACAGTTTAGTGTGGGGGCCACAGTTTAGTGTGGGGGCCCACAGTTTAGTGTGGGGGCCCACAGTTTAGTGTGGGGGCCCACAGTTTAGTGTGGGGGCCACAGTTTAGTGTGGGGGCCACAGTTTAGTGTGGGGGGCCACAGTTTAGTGTGGGGGCCACAGTTTAGTGTGGGGGCCACAGTTTAGTGTGGGGGCCCACAGTTTAGTGTGGGGGCCACAGTTTAGTGTGGGGGCCCACAGTTTAGTGCGTGGGCCCACAGTTTAGTGTGGGGGCCCACAGTTTAGTGTGGGGCCCACAGTTTAGTGTGGGGGCCCACAGTTTAGTGTGGGGGCCCACAGTTTAGTGAGGGGGCCCACAGTTTAGTGTGGGGGCCCACAGTTTAGTGTGGGGGCCCACAGTTTAGTGTGGGGGCCCACAGTTTGGTTGGGGGCCCACAGTTTAGTGTGGGGGCCCACAGTTTAGTGTGGGGGCCCACAGTTTAGAGTGGGGCCCACTGTTTAGTGTGGGGGCCCACAGTTTAGTGTGGGGGCCCACAGTTTAGTGTGGGGGCCCACAGTTTAGTGTGGGGGCCCACAGTTTAGTGTTGGGCCCACAGTTTAGTGTGGGGTCTCCACAGTTTAGTGTGGGGGGTCCACAGTTTAGTGTGGGGGCTCCACAGTTTAGTGTGTGGGGCCCATTTTAGTGTGGGGTCCCACAGTTTAGTGTGGGATCCCACAGTTTAGTGTGGGGTCCCACAGTTTAGTTTGGGGGCCCACAGTTTAGTGTGGGGGCCCACAGTTTAGTGTGGGGGCCCACAGTTTAGTGTGGGGGCCCACAGTTTAGTGTGGGGGCCCACAGTTTAGTGTGGGGGCCCACAGTTTAGTGTGGGGGCCCACAGTTTAGTGTGGGGGCCCACAGTTTAGTGTGGGGGCCCACAGTTTAGTGTGGGGGCTCCACAGTTTAGTGTGGGGGCTCCACAGTTTAGTGTGTGGGGCCCAGTTTAGTGTGGGGCCCACAGTTTAGTGTGGGGGGCCACAGTTTAGTGTGGGGGGCCACAGTTTAGTGTAGGGGGCCACAGTTTAGTGTGGGCGGGCCACAGTTTAGTGTGGGCGGGGCCACAGTTTAGTGTGGGGGGCCACAGTTTAGTGTGGGGGGCCACAGTTTAGTGTGGGGGGCCACAGTTTAGTGTGGGGGGGCCACAGTTTAGTGTGGGGGACCCACAGTTTAGTGTGGCGACCCACAGTTTAGTGTGGCGACCCACAGTTTAGTGTGGCGACCCACAGTTTAGTGTGGCGACCCACAGTTTAGTGTGGGCGGGGCCACAGTTTAGTGTGGGGGCCCACAGTTTAGTGTGGGCGGGGCAACAGTTTAGTGTGGGGGCCACAGTTTAGTGTGGGGTCCCACAGTTTAGTGTGGGGGCCCACAGTTTAGTGTGGGGGCCCACAGTTTAGTGTGGGGGCCCACAGTTTAGTGTGGGGGCTCCACAGTTTAGTGTGGGGGCTCCACAGTTTAGTGTGTGGGGCCCAGTTTAGTTTGGGGCCCACAGTTTAGTGTGGGGGGCCACAGTTTAGTGTGGGGGGCCACAGTTTAGTGTAGGGGGCCACAGTTTAGTGTGGGCGGGCCACAGTTTAGTGTGGGCGGGGCCACAGTTTAGTGTGGGGGGCCACAGTTTAGTGTGGGGGGCCACAGTTTAGTGTGGGGGGCCACAGTTTAGTGTGGGGGGGCCACAGTTTAGTGTGGGGGACCCACAGTTTAGTGTGGCGACCCACAGTTTAGTGTGGCGACCCACAGTTTAGTGTGGCGACCCACAGTTTAGTGTGGCGACCCACAGTTTAGTGTGGGCGGGGCCACAGTTTAGTGTGGGGGCCCACAGTTTAGTGTGGGCGGGGCAACAGTTTAATGTGGGGGCCACAGTTTAGTGTGGGGTCCCACAGTTTAGTGTGGGGGCCCACAGTTTAGTGTGGGGGGCCACAGTTTAGTGTGGGGGGCCACAGTTTAGTGTGGGGGCCCACAGTTTAGTGTGGGGGGCCACAGTTTAGTGTGGGGGGCCACAGTTTAGTGTGGGGGGCCACAGTTTAGTTTGGGGGGGCCACAGTTTAGTGTGGGGACCCACAGTTTAGTGTGGGGACCCACAGTTTAGTGTGGCGACCCACAGTTTAGTGTGGCGACCCACAGTTTAGTGTGGCGACCCACAGTTTAGTGTGGCGACCCACAGTTTAGTGTGGCGACCCACAGTTTAGTGTGGCGACCCACAATTTAGTGTGGCGACCCACAGTTTAGTGTGGCGACCCACAGTTTAGTGTGGCGCCCCACAGTTTAGTGTGGCGACCCACAGTTTAGTGTGGCGACCCACAGTTTAGTGTGGCGACCCACAGTTTAGTGTGGCGACCCACAGTTTAGTGGCGGCCCACCCACACACCAGCACACCCACACCAACACACCCACACACCAACACACCCACACACCAACACACCCACACACCAACACACCCACACACCAGCACACCCACACACCAACACACCCACACACCAGCACACCCACACACCAACACACCCACACACCAACACACCCACACACCAACACACCCACACCAACACACCCACACACCAACACACCCACACACACACACACACCCACACCAACACACCCACACACCAACACACCCACACACCAACACACCCACACACCAACACACCCACACACCAGCACACCCACACACCCACACACCAACACACCCACACACCAACACACCCACACACCAACACACCCACACACCAGCACACCCACACCACACACACCCACACACCACACACACCCACACACCAGCACACCCACACCAACACACCCACACACCAACACACCCACACACCAACACACCCACACACCAACACCTCCACACACCAGCACACCCACACCAACACACCCACACACCAGCACACCCACACCAACACACCCACACACCAACACACCCACACACCAGCACACCCACACACCAACACACCCACACACCAACACACCCACACCAACACACCCACACACCAACACACCCACACCAACACACCAACACACCAACACACCCACACACCAACATACCCACACACCAGCACACCCACACAACCTCCGGTAGCGTCAACACACACAACCAACACTTTATCATGCTGAGCTTTGACCCCTGACGTACTCGCCAGGTTCTTTGACCCACTCACTTTATAACGTAATATATACACACAGTAACCACAATGACTGTCAACACGCCACAAGCCCCTGACGTCTGATGTTTAGAGCTAAGTGTGTGGTCCTGACGTTGCTGAGTGGTCTACAAGGTGCGTCAAGGAACGCACCAGGTCTTGCTACGTCTGAGGGTGTGGGCTTGACGTTGCTGAGTGGTCTACAAGGTGCGTCAAGGAACGCACCAGGTCTTCACTACGTCTGAGGGTGTGGGTTTGACGTGGCTGAGTGGTCTACAAGGTGCGTCAAGGAACGCACCAGGTCCTCACTACGTCTGAGGGTGTGGGTTTGACGTGGCTGAGTGGTCTACAAGGTGCGTCAAGGAACGCACCAGGTCTTGCTACGTCTGAGGGTGTGGGCTTGACGTTGCTGAGTGGTCTACAAGGTGCGTCAAGGAACGCACCAGGTCCTCACTACATCTGAGGGTGTGGGCTTGAAGTGGCTGAGTGGTCTACAAGGTGCGTCAAGAACGCACCAGGTCTTGCTACGTCTGAGGGTGTGGGTTTGACGTGGCTGAGTGGTCTACAAGGTGCGTCAAGAACGCACCAGGTCTTGCTACGTCTGAGGGTGTGGGCTTGACGTGGCTGAGTGGTCTACAAGGTGCGTCAAGAACGCACCAGGTCTTGCTACGTCTGAGGGTGTGGGCTTGACGTGGCTGAGTGGTCTACAAGGTGCGTCAAGAACGCACCACTACACCTTGACTACTGGTCACACAGTGGACACTGGATAATACACAACTTGTTCAGTTTTATAACGTGAGGATTAAAGCAAATAATTTCTCGCTCGACCATAACAAAAATTACACTTCCAATTCCCAAAATATTTCGATATGTAACTTTTCAAATAATTAAAACTGGAATATAAATGTATTGGACGTTGAAAAAATCATAGTATTTTTTTTATATCAAACTTGATGCTCTATATTTCAACACAAAATGTATTAAGCACTGCTTAAAGGTTATTAATTTATCCATTTTATTTATTAAATAATCAAAAAATTTGGATGCATTTTATTTGTTTTATAGATATATGTTTGTAGATTTTAACTCCTTGACCAAATACATTGTTGATGCCATTTAATTTTTTAATTTAATATCAATGTCGATATGAAAACGTGAGAACCCGCCAAACACCGAAACTACGACGTTGGTACAACGTTCGAACAAGATTTAACATTTCCTAACCAGTTATAACAACCAATATAGCAAGTTGTAACAACGTTCTAATACGTCATAAACACGTTAAGCCAAGATGTAACAACTTTATTACAAGTTGTAACAAGCGGAAAATAGAGACAGTTTCGGTTTGTGTTTCCAGGGTTTGTGTTTCCAGGGAATTGAAAAACATGTTGATTAAAAAATAAGTTTTATTAGAAGATGTGTCTTCTAGATCCCTTAATGTGTTATTTGGACAGAGAGGCAAGTGCTTGGAACACCGCGAGATGCAGTACAAGTAGTCACTGAACACACCAACCTTCGAAATATGTTTTGTTATGTAAGGGATAGCGATACAATCTGGTTCATTGTAAAGCGATTATTATTAAGCGCATGTCACCGAAAGGAATATGATTAAATGGAGACTAATTATTTAAAATATTAGCTCGGGCCTATTTAAATCGGACCCATTTTTGGCTGTAAAAAAGCTTGTAAGATCAAAGATATTCTCTAAATGTTTATGTTGTAAATTATTATTTTAATGAATTCCTCTCAACTGAAGACCAATACAAATTGGTTTAAAAGACTTGTGGACTGGTGCATGGGGGAGTCCACCCTCCCCCTGGTGCATGGGGGAGTCCACCACCCTGGTGCATGGGGGAGTCCACCCTCCCCCCTGGTGCATGGGGGAGTTCACCACCCTGGTGCATGGGGGAGTCCACCACCCTGGTACATGGGGGAGTCCACCTATCTGGTGCATGGGGGAGTCCACCACCCTGGTGCATGGGGGAGTCCACCCCCCTGGTGCATGGGGGAGTCCACCCCCCCCCTGGTGCACGGGGGAGTCCACCACCCTGGTACATGGGGGAGTCCCCATGTACGTGGGAGCACTCTGCCTGACCTGGCCATAATCATCAGCACATAAAGCCAGATAAACTACAGATAATGCGATAACAAATTATCACCTAATGCTCTTAGCCTTGCAGTGGTCAATTAAATTAGCAACCTCGCTGTTAGCATAACAAATACTGATTGTTTACACCCATCCTCACAATGTTGCACACTTTTATTCTCTCCTCAAATCGGTTTTTATAATATGAATACAACTTTTTTTTTTCATTTTTTGCATGGATATTCCTGCGCGGGCCCTAGGCCTCTGACTGGCCACTGCGCGGGCCCTAGGCCTCTGACTGGCCACTGCGCGGGCCCTAGGCCTCTGACTGGCCCACTGCGCGGGCCCTAGGCCTCTGACTGACCCACTGCGCGGGCCCTGAGGCTCTGGCTGGCCCACTGCGCGGGCCCTGAGGCTCTGGCTGGCCCACTGCGCGGGCCCTGAGGCTCTGGCTGGCCCACTGCGCGGGCCCTGAGGCCTCTGGCTGGCCCACTGCGCGGGCCCTGAGGCTCTGGCTGGCCCACTGCGCGGGCCCTGAGGCTCTGGCTGGCCCACTGCGCGGGCCCTGAGGCTCTGGCTGGCCCACTGCGCGGGCCCTGAGGCTCTGGCTGGCCCACTGCGCGGGCCCTGAGGCTCTGGCTGGCCCACTGCGCGGGCCCTGAGGCTCTGGCTGGCCCACTGCGCGGGCCCTGAGGCTCTGGCTGGCCCACTGTGCGGGCCCTGAGGCTCTGGCTGGCCCACTGCGCGGGCCCTGAGGCTCTGGCTGGCCCACTGCGCGGGCCCTGAGGCTCTGGCTGGCCCACTGCGCGGGCCCTGAGGCTCTGGCTGACCCACTGCGCGGGCCCTGAGGCTCTGGCTGGCCCACTGCGCGGGCCCTGAGCCTCTGGCTGGCCCACTGCGCGGGCCCTGAGCCTCTGGCTGGCCCACTGCGCGGGCCCTGAGGCTCTGGCTGGCCCACTGCGCGGGCCCTGAGCCTCTGGCTGGCCCACTGCGCGGGCCCTAAGCCTCTGGCTGGCCCACTGCGCGGGCCCTAAGCCTCTGGCTGGCCCACTGCGCGGGCCCTGAGCCTCTGGCTGGCCCACTGCGCGGGCCCTAAGCCTCTGGCTGGCCCACTGCGCGGGCCCTAAGCCTCTGGCTGGCCCACTGCGCGGGCCCTAAGCCTCTGGCTGGCCCACTGCGCGGGCCCTAAGCCTCTGGCTGGCCCACTGCGCGGGCCCTAAGCCTCTGGCTGGCCCACTGCGCGGGCCCTAAGCCTCTGGCTGGCCCACTGCGCGGGCCCTGAGCCTCTGGCTGACCCACTGCGCGGGCCCTGAGCCTCTGGCTGGCCCACTGCGCGGGCCCTGAGCCTCTGGCTGGCCCACTGCGCGGGCCCTGAGCCTCTGGCTGGCCCACTGCGCGGGCCCTAAGCCTCTGGCTGGCCCACTGCGCGGGCCCTAAGCCTCTGGCTGGCCCACTGCGCGGGCCCTAAGCCTCTGGCTGGCCCACTGCGCGGGCCCTAAGCCTCTGGCTGGCCCACTGCGCGGGCCCTAAGCCTCTGGCTGGCCCACTGCGCGGGCCCTAAGCCTCTGGCTGGCCCACTGCGCGGGCCCTAAGCCTCTGGCTGGCCCACTGCGCGGGCCCTAAGCCTCTGGCTGGCCCACTGCGCGGGCCCTAAGCCTCTGGCTGGCCCACTGCGCGGGCCCTAAGCCTCTGGCTGGCCCACTGCGCGGGCCCTAAGCCTCTGGCTGGCCCACTGCGCGGGCCCTAAGCCTCTGGCTGGCCCACTGCGCGGGCCCTAAGCCTCTGGCTGGCCCACTGCGCGGGCCCTAAGCCTCTGGCTGGCCCACTGCGCGGGCCCTAAGCCTCTGGCTGGCCCACTGCGCGGGCCCTAAGCCTCTGGCTGGCCCACTGCGCGGGCCCTAAGCCTCTGGCTGGCCCACTGCGCGGGCCCTAAGCCTCTGGCTGGCCCACTGCGCGGGCCCTAAGCCTCTGGCTGGCCCACTGCGCGGGCCCTAAGCCTCTGGCTGGCCCACTGCGCGGGCCCTAAGCCTCTGGCTGGCCCACTGCGCGGGCCCTAAGCCTCTGGCTGGCCCACTGCGCGGGCCCTAAGCCTCTGGCTGGCCCACTGCGCGGGCCCTAAGCCTCTGGCTGGCCCACTGCGCGGGCCCTAAGCCTCTGGCTGGCCCACTGCGCGGGCCCTAAGCCTCTGGCTGGCCCACTGCGCGGGCCCTAAGCCTCTGGCTGGCCCACTGCGCGGGCCCTAAGCCTCTGGCTGGCCCACTGCGCGGGCCCTAAGCCTCTGGCTGGCCCACTGCGCGGGCCCTAAGCCTCTGGCTGGCCCACTGCGCGGGCCCTAAGCCTCTGGCTGGCCCACTGCTGGCTGGGCGCCTAAGCCTCTGGCTGGCCCACTGCGCGGGCCCTAAGCCTCTGGCTGGCCCACTGCGCGGGCCCTAAGCCTCTGGCTGGCCCACTGCGCGGGCCCTAAGCCTCTGGCTGGCCCACTGCGCGGGCCCTAAGCCTCTGGCTGGCCCACTGCGCGGGCCCTAAGCCTCTGGCTGGCCCACTGCGCGGGCCCTAAGCCTCTGGCTGGCCCACTGCGCGGGCCCTAAGCCTCTGGCTGGCCCACTGCGCGGGCCCTAAGCCTCTGGCTGGCCCACTGCGCGGGCCCTAAGCCTCTGGCTGGCCCACTGCGCGGGCCCTAAGCCTCTGGCTGGCCCACTGCGCGGGCCCTAAGCCTCTGGCTGGCCCACTGCGCGGGCCCTAAGCCTCTGGCTGGCCCACTGCGCGGGCCCTAAGCCTCTGGCTGGCCCACTGCGCGGGCCCTAAGCCTCTGGCTGGCCCACTGCGCGGGCCCTAGGCCTCTGGCTGGCCCACTGCGCGGGCCCTAAGCCTCTGGCTGGCCCACTGCGCGGGCCCTAAGCCTCTGGCTGGCCCACTGCGCGGGCCCTAAGCCTCTGGCTGGCCCACTGCGCGGGCCCTAGGCCTCTGGCTGGCCCACTGCGCGGGCCCTAAGCCTCTGGCTGGCCCACTGCGCGGGCCCTAAGCCTCTGGCTGGCCCACTAAGTGTTGCTTGTTTCTGTTTTACTTGGGCGGAATGTGAGTATTTATGACTCGTATGGTCGCTTCAGTAAGAGGCTCTTTGGGCTCGCTTCTCAACTTGACAAATATTGTCCGGTGTTGATTGTGACTGGATGGGTGAACAAAAGAATCAGTCGGTGGGTAGATGCACTGTAAGCTTGGTTATACTGCACATACCTAGGTTACACTGCACATACCAAGGTTATACTGCACATACCTAGGTACTAATTGACTCTTCCTGGAGACTACACAATTATTTGAACTTACACACACACACACACACACACACACACACACACACACACACACACACACACACACACACACACACCACGCAGAAGTGTAAGGAGGCAGCAGACAAGTTTATCCCAGTCCAAAAGGGAAAAAAATGAATTGCAGATGAGAAACCCATGGTTTAATAGGAGATGTAAGCTAGCTAAACAACAAAGTAAAAGGGCATGGAGAAACTACAGGAATAACAGTACACCAGAGAGCAGAGAAAGATACCAGAATGCCAGGAATGAATATGTCAGGATGAGAAGAGAGGCAGAAAGAAAATATGAAAATGACATCGCAAGCAAGGCAAAGACTCAACCTAAATTGCTGCACAGCCACATCAGGAGAAAAACAACAGTGAAGAAACAGATAATGAAACTGAGGATAGGGGTAGACAGATTCACTACAAACAACAAGGAAGTGTGTGAGGAATTCAATAAGAAATTCCAGGAGGTCTTCACATTAGAGCAAGGAGAAGTTCTAGAGATAAGAGAGGGAATAGTTAACCAGGCACCACTAGAGGAGCTTGGGATTACAGTGGTGATGTAAGGAAATTTTGCTAGAGTTGGATGTGACAAAGGCTATAGGCCCGGATGAGGTACTGGCAGGGTATTGTTGTTACCAGCCCGGAGGAGGAGTAGGGAAGGCGGGTGATGGGTGCATCAGGAGCTGGCTGTGACCGGAAAGTAATACCTGTACCAGATACGACATTATTATGAGGTCAGAGTGATGGTGCATTCCCCCCACCACCAGTGGCCTCCCCCCACCACTCCCCCACCACCAGCGGCCTCCCCCCAACACTCCCCACCACCACCAGCGGCCTCCCCCCAACACTTCCCCCCCCCCCCACCAGCGGCCTCCCCCCAACACTTCCCCCCCCACCAGCGGCCTCCCCCCAACACTCCCCACCACCACCAGCGGCCTCCCCCCAACACTCCCCACCACCACCAGCGGCCTCCCCCCAACACTTCCCCCCCCCACCAGCGGCCTCCCCCCAACACTCCCCCACCACCAGCGGCCTCCCCCCAACACTTCCCCCCCCCACCAGCGGCCTCCCCCCAACACTCCCCTCCCCCC